TGAAAAAATTGGAAAAAACAAATAAGATGAAGTAAAGTGATGATTATTTTATATGAAAAATCTAAATTCTTTAAGTAGAGTTGAAAATCTTAGTTAATAATTGAATCATGGTTAATAGTTAATAGTTGAATCATAATTGAAACTTAATATTTGAAAGTTGGTTAATAGTTCTAGTCGAAAATCAAAGTAATTAAAAGTTTAAATTTTTAGTTTCAATACTCAAAATGAGAAGCATTACATGAATTTTTTGGATGATATCAAGGATTGAGGGGACTTCCAGTCAGAAAGGCTCAAAATCAAGCTGAATTTGAAAAAACAAACAAGACGAAGATATATGAGGATTATTTAATTTGAAAAAAAGAAAAGTTATTTGAGTATTGTTTTTCTACGAAACTAGCAAAAGAATGCTGGAATGTTGTAAGATTTGTACATAATACTACTATTATTTTCAAATCATGCAATATTTCAGCATTTTTTTGTTAGTTTTTTACACGTTCTTCCTAAAAATTTACTATGATTATTGAAACTCTCACTTAACAAATTAGGGTTTGATGGAAGAAGTTCAAGTAATTTTAAGTTGAATTTATGGGTTAAACAATTCACATGAATATGTAGTTAACTTTTACTAAAGTTGCACAAATTAAATTACATAGTAATAAATTAAAAATTTTAAGAAAAAATAAATTGAAAATTTTGAGAAACAAAAATAAATTGAAATAAGATTTTAAATAATAAAAGTACATTTAATAAAATTTATAATTGGAAAGAATAATTGCAGAAACTAAACTTATTTCATAGGAATTATTTATAGCATTGAATCGACATTCAAATCATTACACATTCTGATTAACTTCAAATCCCCTAAAATTCTATTAAATATTACACATATAATTCTTAATTTATACCAATCTTCAATTTCTTCTTTTAATATAACAAATATTCTCAAATCTTTACTAACTCCAGTTGCTTTAACACCCTTTTCTAGTTCAAATTTCAACATTTGCTTGTCCAAAGATTCGTCTTTAATTTGAATTCCAACAAGCCATGAAGTGCAAAAAGTGATACTGAAATTTAGAAAATTGGTAAAATTTGTTGATGTTAATTATATATAATATAATGTAAGGAAAACTTAAATGGCCTAATATCAAATTCCCCTACTCTGAAGCAACAAGTCATATCCCCTCTTATAATTAATCCCGCCTATTTTAATCACTTATAAATAAATTGTATCCCCACTAGTCAATTATGTAATTGAATTTCTGTTTTATTATTATAAAACTTTAAATTGTATTTTGAAATGTAAAATAAATATTAGTGACAGTCTGGTTTTGTTTATGATTATATTCATTTCTTTCGGAAACGAAAGAATAGTTGAGATAATCCGATTAGCGATGAGTGCGCTGGCCACGGACGAGCATCCCTCTGCCCAGCACACTTCCAACTTTACTATAATAATAATGTATTTTCAGTTTACTGTCCAGAAATATTCTAGGAGTTGGGAGATGAAAGAGTAGAATTAAGCGAGCCTTTATCATTTTCATCAAGCAGAATGATTTGTCAAAAGAGAAATATGATACAGTTCTATTAAAGCAGTAATTATTTCACTAGAGCTTTTTCAATGGACATTCTCTCCTACACAACAAAACTGTGTTAACTAATTTAGATTCTACATACACAATTATATTAACACATATTTATCGAAATCAAAACTGTTGTGTAGTGTATCGCTATAGTATAAAAGCCAGTGAAAGCTTCAGTCTAGTTGAATCATATTAGCACGGCTAGTCCCTGATTCCCTTCGTCTGTCCAAGCCCTTTCCACCTTCGCCTACATTGTTTATTTCTACACCGGATAAATTGTTATTCTACACGTCAACATCAGTTAAATCTCGGACACCTCCGGTTGTAACAAAAACATAGAAAATTGAAGATTCTCACCTTTCTGATTGTTCCTCTTCTTCAAAATTAAATTGTTGTCCACCCGCATTATTAATTTTTGGAATTTCTGTAGGACAATCTTCCGTTTTTAATCCAATATGATAAATTTCTATTTGATGAATTTTCTCAATCTTTTCATTTATTTTATGCAAATTCTCCAAAAACCCGCAACAATTAACTTGTCCTTCTTCCTCTTCGGTAATACAGGAAATGACAAGAAAATGTTCGTAATGAAAATTTTTGTAAATTATCATTAAGAAATTTAAGATAATTCACAGTTTTAATAAATTCTGATCCTTCATCATTATTTTTCATATAAACCAATTCATTTTTATTTGGTTGATTTGACGAAAATTTTACAACATTTTTAAGACCTATAATTAATTTGTCTTTAATTTTAGTTAATTTGCTTAGAAAAAATTTCAAATTTGATTGGTCAGCTTTAGTTTTGTGGCCCGCTATGAGCTGTTAAAAATTCTCAAGTGAAATTAAATAAATAAATAAACATAAATAAATTTATTGATACTATAGGGTATAAATATAGAAGCCCATGCCCTATTAGAGGCTCACTCAATGAGGGGTAATGAAAAATAAACGCCCATGCCCTTATAGAAGCCCATGCCCCATTAGAAGCCCACCCAATACATTGTTTATATATTAGTTTTCTGTTATCTTTTAAAATTAAATAGCAATTTCCAATCCTAAACCCCTATAAAAATTTATTATGTAAAAATAATTGCCAATTAATAATGCATTCAAAATGATTTGTTGATTTGTTTTTGTTATTTTGCTCGTTAATGAATGTTCAGGATACACTGGCGTGTAAACCGTCATATTGCTCTCTTGGTTTCCGTTCTTGTTTTCTTTATTTTGCTTACTTTTAATAGAAGAGGAACAACCCAATCCCTTAAATAATTTATTAAATCCACTCTATGGAAATTTACCATGTTGAAAATATTATGAAGAAACGTTCAATTAACTCGACAGTATTTGCTTCTGGAAATAAAAGAAAAACTTTTGTTAGCATTAAAGAAATTGAAGTTCCATCAAGAAATCCAAATTGACTGTTGTAAATACAATGAGCTATAATTATAATAAATTAATAGCTATAATTATAATATAATATTAAATAATAGAATAATTATTATTTATAGTTATAATAAATTTTATAAATCAACTAGTATCAATGAATAAAACTTGATTTTATAAAGGAAAGGCTCAACCAAAATTCATATCGAAATGTATGCCAAATTTTATTCTTTCGGTATCTTACATTTCGAGGCTTGGTTGTTTCGAGGTTCTATCTCTGGTTCTGGATGAAAGCGGTGTTTTTTTTGATTCGGTATTTCAAATGAATTAATATACATGGATACTTTAATGGAATCTGGTTCCCAACATAACTATATATTTAAAAAAATTTTCAAACCCTTTGCCCAATTTCTCAAAATCACAAATGCTTGATTAAAATTATACTGTTCTTTTTCATTTTTACTTCTCAGTAACTCTTCCAAATATTCATAAGTCTTGAACAAAGAAAGATTATAGAGAATAGAAGCATTTTGTTGTTGTTTTTCCTTGTTATTCCCAATTTTATTTAAATTTTTTGAAATTTTCCTCATAAAAGGTTCGATCCATTTTGTATCATTTTGAGCCTTTCGTTCTTCTTTGTTATAAACAAAAGTGATTACAAATTCTGTTCCACTAATCTCATAATAAATATTTTCATCAGAAATGGGTAAAATTTTGTATTTTCCATTGAGTGAATGTTTTATTGCAGTCTAAATTTTATTTAAATCAGCAAGCATACGGTTTAAATAAGTCTAGTATCTTTACCGAACGAATATTAATGTCATAAAATTATTTATTAAATTATTATTTTCTCCGCCCCAATTTTACTCAATAAAAGGTGAGAGGACTTAGGCCAAACTCTCTGTTTTAGTCTTGATTTGGCCAGGTCTCTCACAGGCCGGCTCTTTATTTAGTATTTTATTTATTTATTTTAAAACTTTTAAAGGGAGAGGTTTTTCTTTTTAATTAATTCCGCGGACGCGCTCCGTTATTGGGTATATGTTTGTATATGTATATGTTTGTATATGTTTGTTTATGTTTGTTATACATATTTTTTGTTTTATATTTTTGTATTTTATTTTATTTTATTTATATATATTTATATTTTTGTATTTTATATTTTTTGTTTTTTTTTTTTTTTTTTTTATTCAGTATATGTTTGCCTCCAGTTAAATCCTCGACTTATATTTTAGTTGAGTTTTATTTCTTTTAATGGCAATCTCGTTTGGAAGAACCTGCTAGAACTTATTTGTCAAACTATAGAATTGAACTCAAACTCGACAGGCAAACTCAAGATTATTTTACCTTGAAAAGATGACAATAAAGAGAGTTGTCTGAACATGTTCTATTAAATAAAGTCAAAGATTTGCTGGCGTTATCAATAAATAATCCTTTTATTATTTCATACTCAACTTTCCCTGCCCCAATAGCTAAAACAATAGCATGAATATGTCCTCCTTCTTTGTTGAGTGGAGATGACATAAATAATTGAAAATTTGAAATCTCTTTAACTTGTTTCGATTTTTCATCCTTCCATTTTTCGAAAAGTTCATTGAAAGACGTTATAGGAGTAATATCATTGTTCTGAACATCAAAAGATGCAACTTTCCAGTTTTTGTTTATAGATAAAGGCCTAAAACCATCTGGATGAGAATATACTTGCAATTTTTCAGAGTTATCTTATAATGATATTTTTATATAATAATATGATTTTAAGAAAAAGAACCACACGTCCTAGGAATGCATGAATCTCAAAAAATCTTGAATCTTAAAACAATATTTCATATTATAAGACAATTTTATGAATTGCCATTTATTCCTGGGAGAGCACCTCAACACTGAAGGTTCCATGTTGAAATCTTTTATATTATAAAATGCCAACTATTGGTTTGCTAAATTTCTGCTAAACTTCACTCAATCTTATTAACATTATCTATATCAAGGACAAGATGGTTCTAACTGATTAAAGCTGATTAATCTGATTAATTTCTAACATCAAAAACCTATTTCAACTTGTTCTTTTATTTGTTTAAGCTCTTCAATCCTCTTTTCTATTTTTAACGTCCATTTTTGTAAAATTTCACTATTTTCCAAGTTAAGAATTTCCTTTACAAATTGCTTCTGATTGGCATTTAACACAATCCAATTAATTCCAATGAAATCAACAAAATATTTTGAAATCTTTTCCAAGTACAAATTTTTCTTGATTTTACTTAAGGCCTCTTTAATTAGCTTCCCTTCCGTTACTTTCAATATTTCAAATAAAAGATAATGTAATTCTTTTCCAATTTTTAAGTTTCCTTTGACATTATTCTTTGAAATTAATTTTCCTTTGAACTTTCCCCAATAATTTTCCATCCTTTCAAACTTTTTAAAATTCAGAAAATAAATCTCAAAAACTTTTGTATAATTTTTCTTTAAATTCTCCAAAAATTCGAAACGCTTTCCAATCTCATTTACATAAATTCCAACATCAACAAAGCTTTGAGTAATCGAATTCTTTCCTTTTATAAATTCATTGAAAATATCAAACAAATTTTTATCAGCTGTAAAGTGCCCCAATTTAATGTCATGTTCATGATTTTTTATTTTTTCAACAGAAGTTTCATTTATTTTACTTTCTTTTTCTATTAGTATATTCTGTATTATTTCTTCATTATTTTTATCTTCATTATCTCTACATTTTATCTTAGTTATATTTTGCTTCTTAAAAATAACATTTTATTTTATCATACCGTCCCGGGCTGGCCTTTTACACTTCCCGTTTTTTAATTTCACACTCACCACACCCGTTTTTTGACAAAATTAAGCAAAACTATGGTATTTCAGAACGTCAACATCCTAGAGGTCAATCCCTAGTGGTATTTTTGGGCGGATAAAGGTTATTCGTGCGGACTAAGAAGGATGTCTGAGATTTATGATGGATTTGGTTGGATTAAGGAGATTAAAGGATAAAAGACGGAAATTTTCTCGTGCAACTTCACACTCAGACCAACGTATTTTTAATCTCGAATAACTTTATCCGCCAAAATATCTGAGGTTGACATTCTTGGTCAGTTGAATCTAGGATGTTGACCTTCTGGGTTTCGACTTCTCGGCTGGACCCATTTTACACTTCCTTTTGCCGACTCCTGTTTTCCAAATATAATTTTCCCAGCCCTGATTCCTCGAACGATCTGCAAATTTGTTAAAAACTATACCTTAATCTTCTTTTCTAATTTAGTCCCTGCATTTTTTTGTTTCTTTTGGGTTACTGTAGCCTTTACTTCCTTATTTTTCTTCTCCTTTTTTGATACTCGTTCTGATTCTTTGTTTTGTTTCATTTTAGAATTCCCTTTTTTCAACAAATTTATTAATTTTTCAGCATTCTCTAGATTGACAAAATTTTGTAAATTTCTAGTTAACAAGTCCAGACCATTTTCGGCACTGAGTGCTAAAAGTTTTATTTTTAAACTTTACATTAGACTCTTAAAATTGAAGTTTTGTGTATGTACTTGCAGAAAGAATATTCCTAATAGAGATCGAGCTGTAACAAGACCAAGGTCTGGGTTTTTCCTGGACCCAGAGTCCAAGTCCAGGCATTTTTTGACCTTCTAGGTTTTTCCTGGGCAAGGGTTTTTCTGGCCTAAGGCCCGGGATCCAGTCCAGGTCAAGTAATCAATTTCAAGAGTCCAGGAACAGGTCCAGGATTTTCAAAAATTCAAAAATCTCGATCTCTAATTCCTAAGCAATTCAATTTGAAAATTTTTCCAGGTTTTTGCACTTTTAGTTGTGTTAAGGTCTAGGCTCATCCCATTAATTTTCTATTCCATCTCCCAAACTACATAATAATTTTTCCACAGCATAAAAATAATAAAATAAATTAGCCAAAAGTAAAAAAATCTGGCTAAACTCGAAAAGAAATCTCAACTTTTGTGTTTGTCGTTAATAATTTTTGTTTAAAAATTTCGATACGTTAAAACAAAAAATATAAAATTTTAGTTTTAGAAAATTAATAAAAATTTACTCATTGAGAGGTGGCCAAAAAGTTTTTTGTTTCCTTTATCACTTATTAATCGTTGCATTGTTTTATAATGTTCAACATTAAGCCAATTCTTAAAGTGTTCGGAATTTTCTTTTTTGTTAGAATAATTTGTATTATCTATTTTATCCCATTTGCTATCTAATTCATTAAAGTAATCATATTGCTAAAAATTATTAAAAATTATCTCAACTGTAATATTTTCTTTAATTTTATTTCCGCAATTAATATAAATTGTGTATCCACAATGCCTACCAGAAGATAGCTATTTTTTAATAAAAATAGCGTATTTTTTTACAGAGCTGTCTACCCCAATAGAGCAGTCTCATGGAAAAGCTGTATTTACAAAGTTTTAACTATACATTAAGAGCGAGGTTTTAAGAGCGAGTTAAACCTTTTTAAGCGAGGTTTAATCCCAGGCAGGCTTCGATCCTGCGACCCCCTGGAAGTTATTAGCTAGGCGCTTTCGCTCACCAGGTACTGATGCCCTACCGAGCTACCGGGACTCTGCTCTCACCTTCTCTTTTAATAGATATTAAACCGCCTCCTAGTGAGCGTTTTAAATGCTAGCCAGCTGGATCTTTCTCTTCCTTACAATACTAATAGACGGGTTTCTTTAATCGAGCGTCTGTTTCCAATATAGCGGCTATAAGAGGCATGCAAAATCGAAAAACGAACCTCCGTATTATCATCCGCCTGGCTTGATTCATTAATTAACATATTTATCCTCTCCATTCTACCTAATAACCTATTACTTTCTTTTTGATGCTCAGACTCGTTTATAATGAACAATTTCACAAAGCGCGTATATAAAACAAGATATTCCAATTCCCATTTTACTTTAAATGCTTCCTTTTTGTCTTTATTTTTCCAATTAATCAGTTTAATATAATTTTCCACCCATCTATACCAAACTATAAAATCTGCTATAATCCGATATATATGTTCGTACGGTTCATATTCAGATACTAAAGCCTTTATGTAGTGATCGCATAATTGTGCATCGTCGTAAAATGCTAAATTTAGTTATAATTAGGGCTCGGATTTGTATTGAAATATATTTTTTTCCTGAATATATTATGGCGAGAGAAGCCCAAATATGCCATTAGTTTTTCGATATTAGAATTTTGAACGAAGTTAAATTTCAATATATTTCAATATTTTGCCAATTTCCCCATTATTTCAATATTTGGCACATTTTTCAAATTATTTCAATATTTTTGCATATTTTTACCAAAATTTAGGGATTTTTCATAAATTTTAGGAAAAAAGTGAAGAAATCTGGCCGCCTGACAACCAAAAATCTCATAATTTTTGCAAGCGGCGCTGAAAATGGAAAAATTTGGCTTCTTGGTCTACCAAAATTCTCAGAATTTTGCCTCATTTTGTCAATCGCAAAGTGTCCAAGATAGTAAAGTTACTCAATTCGTCGGGTTATAAAGCTAATGTGCAATTTTAAAAACGTGATTCATTTTTTTGTTAAATTTCAACTTTTTTGGGGGGTTTTCTAGTGAATAAACGATAATTTATTTCAATATTTCACTAATTTTTGGCATTTTTTGTCAATATTTTGCCCACTTATTTCAATATTTTATGGCCATATTTCGCAATTTTATTTCAATATAAATCCGAGCCCTAGTTATAATATATATTTTTATAAAGAGAATTTTTTAGAAATTGAAATCCGAGTAAGCATCGCTCCAATAAACTCAAGTTTATTATAGTTTCAGTCAAGTCAGGCTTTAAAACCATGCCTAAAATAGAAAAATCGGAGTGGAGTTATAGTTATGAAGCGAGCCTATTTTTAAGCGCTTTTAGGTTTAATTAGATTTAATGAGATTTAAAATTTAAAGAGACATACCTTTATCGTCCGCTAATTCCCATTTTCTCAAATACTCCTCCAATCCTTTATCAGCTACTAGAATTATAAAGAAATAATGTGTTTCTATATTTGACCTTATTTCTTCTAAAGCTCCCTTATTCTCATTAAATTTTTTGTCTAAAAAATTTCTATGATCCTTAGCAAGATATGTTCTAATATTGCCATACTTAACCTCATAAAATTTTTGATCAATTTGACCATTATCTAATCTTTGGATAATATTAACGAATCTAGAATTAATTTCTTTAATCAGTTGTTTAAGCCATTTTTTGGATTTTTCTTTAAAATTTGAGATTTTACTAGAAAACACTTCCACAACTGAGAATAAAATAAAAACAGAATACTCAATATCATCTTCAAAATTATTATAAGCCTCATCTTTCACTCGATCGAAAACATTTTTAGTTTCTCCATATCCTCCTGATCCTTCAGTAATCCCAGCATCTTTTAAATTTTTTAGACAAATATTTTCGAATATTTCTACCCTTGAAAGTAAGAGAGAAACGTTTAATCTATGTAAGCTCTGCTATAATATTTCTCTTTATCAAAGTCGTGCATATCTGCATCGAGAATATCCATTCTCAATACTTTTCTATACAAATTTTATTTATATGTTGGGTCCATTACAGCTAGAATGAAATAGTTTATATTTAAAAAACTTTAAATCATTAAATATGTTGAATTGATCAAGGAAGTGATCGATGGGATGAGTGATTAATGGTGTAAGTGAGTAACCTAGAAAGTGAACAACCGATTGGCAATCAAGTGAGTGATCAACAGAACTGTTTAGAAACAAAATAATCTTCGGAAATATGATATATAAACTCGGAAAAGTTGATTAATATCGAAATTGAAAATATTTTTAAAAATTTTCGAATCGAAACCCGAGTGATAATCAACCGGAAGAGTGATCAAACGAGAGTGATAAACGACGGTGGTATCGATCACCTTATTAATCAATCAAGGATACTCCTAGAGATTAATTGATCAATTAACAAACTCAGTTGATAAATTGATAACTTTGATCAAAATAAGAAGCTTCCCCGTCATTGGAAAAGCTTCCCAATGCTGAATAATAAAATTTAAAATAGTATTTAGTGTTGATCATATATTTTCGATACATTGGATCATCGATACTTTGGGTGCGATATTTTGTGTGTCAAGACTTGGAGGTGGAATCGTTTGACGAAATAAATATACCGTATTTTTCCCAATAGAAGAGCATGTGCTTCTATTTTTGCGCTTCTACTGGGACGTTCGCTTCAAATGGGATGCGCGCTTGTGTTAGGAAAAATACTGTATGTATTATAATTGAGCGCCTCGTTAAATTGAGAGTATTAGGGTCATTTTATATTTTAAAATAAGTATTCCTATCCCAGTCATAATACTTAAAACCTAGAAAATGCTTCCTAAATTAATACCGTACATATATGCATAGTTTTGGGAAATAAGTTCTCCAATTTTTCTAATAAATCATAGTCGATTAATTTTAATAGAGCTGTTTTTGTAGAAATTTTTGTAAAGATTGATCCATCAAATTTATCTAATATACTAGATAAGGATTCAAAGTGAGCATTTTTTAATTCTTTCTCAAATAAATCAGAATCAAAGCATACTCCGATTGTTTCTTTCATTTGTTCTGCATCCTCACATTTAATTCCATTTTTAAAAAGAGAATTCTAAAGTTAATTTTATAATTAAAACGTTTGAATCACAATCTGTTGTGAGTGTTTTACTATGGTATAGAGCCAGTGGACTAGCCCGGCTAGTCACTGATTCGAGCCTCAATCCCTTCGCCTACATTGTTACGTTACTAGGGGCTCTGAAATAAGACTATCTTACTAAAATTTCTAGTTTTTAGAAATTAGCCAGTTATCATCCTCTGGCTTCTTGGCTGAAAATTAACAAAAATTTCCGATTTTTGTGTTTTACTATGGTATGGGGGTTTTCGACCAAAAAACGTCGGGAATTTTCGCTTTCGGGAATCGTGTCGTCAGGATCCCTGATACCTCGGGTATAATATAACCGTGGCATAAAGGCAACGGATTTATTAGTATTTTATTAGTTTAATTTTATAAAAAGTTAGAGGCAATATTCAACTGGCAATAAATTTATACAAATGTATCTGGAACTAGTTCCAGTTCCAGAACTAGGTTTTTAATTTTTGTAGTTCCAGTTCCAGTTCCGGAACCAAGTTTTTAAATTTTGTAGTTCCGGTTCCAGTTCCGGAACTCCATTTTTGAAATTCCTTAGTTCCAGTTCCAGTTTTGGAACTAGTTCCAAGCTAGTTCTAGTTCCAAATTTTTAAATTTTTGAATATGAAAGGATCTATCAATTTTAACAAAGGCATAACACTACTCCACAATTGATCCGTGTCAAGTGTTGAGCGTTGAGTTTCAAGTGTTTTGGTCCGTGCCTTTTTTATTTCAATGTAGGAAGGATACGTACTACTCGACACTCAACACTTGATAATCGTCCGTGTCGAGTGTTAAGTGTCGAGTGGTTTCTCATGCAGTCTGCACCATGTACTCTCTAGTGTTGAGTGTCAAGTGCTTTTCAGGATTTTTGAAAGTTAAAACACTCAACACTTGACACCGATGTCATTGTATGAGGGTGCACTTGACACGGACGCACGCACGGATGCCCGCACGGAACACTTGCCACTCGACAAAACACGGAATATTGTGCGAGTGTGCACTTGACACTCGACAAAACACTCAACAAAACACTCGACACGGATGTCATTGTGGGAGTAGTTTTTCATTGTGGGAGTCCACTTTGTGGGAGTCCACAGATGTCATTGTGGGAGTCCACTTTTTCAGCGCCGCAGGCGAAAATTTTGAGAATTTCTAAGGTCGTAGGCCGGAAAAATCCACTTTTTCAGCGCCGCAGGCGAAAATTTTGAAAATTTCTAAGGTCGTAGGCCGGAAAAATTCACTTTTTCAGCGCCGCAGGCGAAAATTTTTAGAATTTTGGAGCTCAAGCAGCCAGATTTTTTCAATACTCAGCGTGCTGCAGGTAATTTTCGAGTAAATTTTGTCAAAAATATACCCCCAAGAACTAGTTCCGTAGTTCCAGTTCCAAGCTAGTTCCAGGCATTTACTAGTTCCGTAGTTCTAGTTCCAAACTAGTTCCAGATAATCGTTAGTTCGGTAGTTCTAGTTCCGGAACTGGAACTAGAACTAATTAGTTCCGGAACTGGAACTGGAACTTTGACATCACTGGTTAGAAGTAGTCTTTTGAACGTGCTAAACATAGCTATTTATTTTAAATCTAGGAAAAAAGGTACATACATGATGTGGAAGTTCAGTGTGTTCAGTCAATATAATAATCCAAAATTCATTTTCTAGCAATTTTTCATTATTAGCCCAAAAATGAACAAATTTATAAATTTCACAAAATTGTTTCTCGATATTCCATTTGTTTGAATCTTCTAAAAATTCCTTTGCCATTTCTAATGAACTCTGAGTAAATTTAATAAATTCTTCCGCAAATTCTTCTGTCCAATCATAATCAATTTCTTCTTCAGTTTCATTATCCCCAACAAGTTCAAAAAATATTTTGTAAGCTCTAATGTTTTCATCATCATCCTCTTCAAAATCAATCCCGTTTCCTGCAATTTCTTCAACAAATAATCTACAACCCTTTATGTAGGCAAGTAAAGAAAGATTCCTCAAATAAGCTTGATCAGTATTTTCTGTTAAAAATTTGGTGTATAATTCAATATATTCGTTGTTTTCTATTTCAAAATTTTTTTGGTATTCTTCACTTTGAAAAAAATCATTTGGGGTTCCATTTATTGCAATAACACAATAGAAAAATATAATTAAAAGCATAGTTTAGCTAAAAAAATTTGGGAATTTAATTTTTGTAAGAAAAAAAGTAAGCTTGGCATGTAAATGTGATAGGTTGCATGAAAAGTAAAGTTGTACCCCGACCCCGATCCTGTTCCCGAAAGTTTTTTCCGCGATTCTCCCCGACCCAAACCCCGACCCGAAACATTTGGAAAACCCCGTACCCCGACATACCCGCTCGCGAGCTTTCGGGGTAAACCTATGTAAAAGTGATCCGCGAACCCTGATATTTACTTAATTCCTTGATAATTAACAATTTTTATTATTCTACTTATATTTTTCAGCTTTTTAATTTGGATTTAATTAGTCTAGAGAGAAATTATTCAAGAAAAATATCAATTGAGTTCCCAATGTGGAGGAAGCCAGGTTTGACGCACGGAAGGAAAGCCGCCATAATCAAAGCTTGGGGCTTTGTTTGTTACTATACCCCAATGCCAGGCTTTCTTTGCAGCAGCACAAAAATAGAAATGTCCATTCGAAAATATTATCACAAAATGCTTGTCTAGACATAACTGACAGCCCTATTTTATAATTTTTAATTAAAAAATATTTAAAAACATTTATAAATAAAATATTCAATAATAATTTATTAATTTGATTAAGAAATAAATAAAATAATAAAAGGAAGACCGACAGACGGCATTTAAATGCATGATGCAATATTATTTAAATTTCATAATTTATTAAGAAATAAAATTGTGAAAGGTCATTTTATTTGAAATAGACCGACATACATGTTATTATTTGTCAGATTTTCCTGAAATATTTTTTTGTTTGTCTATTTCGCTTGATGTAATAGGGCTTTAATGTTTCTGCAAACAAAAACACACGAATAGTGATGCAAAAGTTGCAGTTCCGGAACTTTAAGACTTGGGGATTAAACAAAAAACTCGGATGAACTTTGTATAAAAACATGACTACAATTCATTGTTACCATATCTATATACATATTCACGACAACTGTTGTGGATTTAAGGTTCTTACGATCAAGACAATACAATTAAATAGAGAAATAAAATATGGACGAAGTCAAGGACATGGAAGAAAATCCGGAATAAATTGAACTTGAGAGAAGAAACACGAGAAAGAAGAAAAGATGGTATTGAGATCTTATCGGCCAATCTTTTACATTAATAATTTTAATATATAATGCTTTATGATTTTCCAAGCTTTTAACTTTTACACTTCCATATACATATCTTTTAAATAAAATAAAAATTTTCTTTCTTTTAAAATAAATAAAATTATTTTATAATAATTAATAATAGAGTAAGGTAGAGGTTTAAATCGCCCAGTCCACGGCCCTTTTAAATCTTTAAATTATCAAGAATAACTTGGTGATATTTAGGCGAATTGTTCATCTTTCAATAACAACATTTTGCAATTCTATTTGAAATCAAATCAAACCATAATAGAAAAATAAGTCCTTTCCCGTTTTAAATAAGTCCTTTCCCGTTTTTAGAAATTTCTAAAAATTGTTTTGTAAACATTATATTAGTTTTTACTTATTGCACTCGGCATTTTGGCAATAACCAAAAGGGCAATTATTGCATCATTTATTGCATCATTCTTATTAATAAGTGAATCGCAAAGGGAAAATATATTATGAAATATGTTAATGAATCGAATTATTAGACTTTCACTTTACTGCCTATATACGGAATTGTACTTTATGTCTCCTCCTCTTTACTAAAGAAATACGCCTTTTTAAAAGAGAAGAAAGTCATGGCATTTTTTATTTTTTTTAATTTTTAAATCATAATTAAATTTAAGTGATTGTGAAAAGCTTCAGTAAAAATGACTGGATTTAAGTTTAGAGTAAGTTAGAAGCATTCCAGAACCTAATCAGAGACTACATTATGTCCTGTCTTTCAGTTTCTCTACTTCTTTCAGCACCTTTCGTTGCTTTCACTAGAGTCGTTGATTTCATTGGCCTACCAAAATTCTGAAAATTTTCGCTAGTACAAAATATCGAGCTTCATTGCCTGCCCTACATCTTTTAATGTTATCTAGAAAAATATATTTTTAAATATTTCTAGATGAATATTTCAATTTTCTTTTTCAATTTATTCATTTTACTTGGTTTAAATTTGAATGTTCAATGCGTCAAGAATTATTATGAAATTTTAAATATTCCCGATTTTTCCTCGCAAGAAGTAATTAAAAAAGCTTGTAATGAGAAGTTATTGGCGCATCATCCAGACAAAAATCCAAATGATGAGAAAGCAGATGCAATTACAAAGGATATAATTCAAGCTAAAAAAATCCTCCTTGACAATACACACAAGATGGCATATGATAGTCAATTAGATGAACAAATTAAAATAAAATCAAAAGGAGATGTAGGAACTTCTGGAGGATTTACTGGCGGAAAATGGAATCCAGTATTTGGTATAATTAAATTTTAAAAAATCCTAAAAATTCATTTTTTAAAAGCCTCACTTCAATTTTATTAAATTGAAGATAGGAAGAAAATTAAGGGAGAGACTAAGGGAGAGATTAAGGGAGAGACTAAAGTGTCACGTCGATTCTCTAATTACGACTGTTATCATTTTTGTCGCAAAATGATTTTTGTCGCATTTTTGTTTTATCGAAAGATCTCTGCTGATCAACTGATCACTCTAACAATGGAAAACTTTAAATTAGTTTTTCCGTTCAGTGTCCAAAATTCCTATTGGTGCCACAACATGCAAAATAGAAAGTAATGGGTAGAACCGGAAAAACTATACACAATAAACTAATATTTTAACTTAAATATCGTGTTAACGTAATAAATTTTCCATTAATTTTAGATAGTCTTCATATACAAATCGTTGTTTTCAAAGAAAAAATGGTTGTAAAAGAGAAGCAAATCACTCATACCAACAAAGTTTACATTACTGGCAAAACAAATAATGTAACAATTCATGGAAACAAAATTGAAATTGAAAACGAAGACAGGAAAAGCCCTCAGAATCTTTTAAAAACTAATTTTGTTAAAATTATGTTGGATGGAACTCAAACCCGCATTGGTAAACAATTGAAGTTCCCATTTAAATTTCCTGAAGTAAACTATGATGATGAAATGCTTGCGACACCGGAGCATACAATAAATGGATCAACGAACCATATTAATGTATAAAGTTTTTTTATATTTTAAATTTTAAATAGTAACTAGACCCAATAGAATAGGGCTAAATAAATATACAGGGTGACAAGGAAGTAATGGGGCAAAGATTTTATGCCATAACTTTATTCAAATGAAAGATAAAGGGATCTAATAAAGCTTAAATGATAGAGAATTAAACAATGAATAAGAATAATCAAGAATTTTTGAAGTGCCCACCCTTCCCTTGGAAACAAAGTCGAAGGCGCGTATAAAACTTTTTGGTAAAAATTCGCACCACCTTGGGTGAGACTTTCTACTATTCTCGAACGAGCGATCATAAGATCGTGTTGAAACTTTAGTGTTATTAAGAACAGACCCTTCCCTCAAAAATACCTGAAGAAGTAACTATCGAAATCTATCGATATCTAACATGCAAAGGAGTGCCGAAAACTTTACTTTCAAAACTTTACTTTAAAATCAACATATAAAAAATAAATATTATAAATTATTATAGATTTATATCGAGGATGAAGTCGAATCTTTATACAAGGAACCTGGGGATATTTATTTAAATAATGAGATTCATATAAAGGGCACTGATGTTAATTATGTTGTGATTCAAGGAAACTAAAAAATTGATTTGGGTTTGCGCCCATAAATTTGTAAATTTCATTTTCTCTGGTTTTCAAATTTTCTGTTTCTGTTTATTAACATTTTTACTGTGTTAGAATCTGCAGAAAGGAAAATATATTTGTTTTGAAAAACTAAATTGAAGGCTTATGGATTGTTTAATCTTTCCATGCTAACAGACAACGATTAATATAAATTTGAAAATCAGAGACATATTGAAACACCTTGATTGACCATCCACAAATTAAAGTAGCTATTAGTCATATTTAAATTATTGATAAATTTTTAAAGTTTTTAAATAGTAAAGTTGAAAGGACAGAAAAAGCGAACCAGCATCTTCGCTGGGAGCTTGCGCTGGGAGCGAACCAGCATCTTCAGTAGACCGGACTGATGTGTTAGTCATTACACCACGCCGCCTACTGCTCAGCCTAAGGAAATTAATAGCTATATGCTTTGCAATACCTAGTGCTGTCCATGTTCGCGTCGGAAACTTCTTTAAGGTGTTCTGTGGGTATTTGTGTCTAAAATTTTCCGGTCTTGGCTAGCTAAGTCTTGGTCAGCCTTTCCAATTATCTTTAATATAGTAACATTTATGTTAGGATTACTTAATTATAACTAAAGTAGATCGAGGTCGATGTTATTTAAAAAACCGAGTATCAACGAGGCTTGAAAAGCCTCTACTGAAAAAGCCTCTCTCTATTGAATTCTATTAATGTTGAAATAGTTTTCCGCTAACAAAAATTAGACAAAAAATATACAGTAATTTTGGCTTAATACAATTTTTAATAAAGCTTAGCAACATTTTTTCCTTCCTCAATTTTTAATTGAAAGTACAAGCTTTGTTTGTATTCTCATTTGTCAGTACATTTAAAATCGAATAAAAGAAAAAATTCATTTTTTAAAAGCTTTTAATAATTAAAATTTTTTGAATAAACATTTTAACAAACAATATTAACACGCATATGTGTCATTAATGCAAGCAACACATTTTTTGTATACATTTTTACACTTTCATAATGCTTTATAACATCCCGCACTAAAAAATTCAAATTATGGATATTATACTTAATTAAACTATTTTAATATCTACAGTTAATAAATTATACACATTGATATTCATTCCATAAAACTGATGCTGACTCCAAAAGATCCGGTAAATTTTTAGACAGTACTATATATTTGAATCTCACCCAAATCGCATACTAAACGTCGTTACGATTCACGGAAATCTGAGAATTGTAAATCTCCAGACGTCATTCATTTTTCTTTCTAGAGATCCCTCGTTTTACCTTATATGCGTCGATTTACCGATATAATTGGATTCGACTTACCTTAAATTTAATTCTGAAAATTTCAATTTTATTCCTAAAAATCGGGAATATCATGATTCACGAACCTTGAACTAAAAATCGGGATTATTTTTGTTCATTTGACCTTATAATTGAATTCGAATAACCTTAATTTAAACTTTTAATATTTTAATTATATTGAAGGTCTTTAATTATTACAACACTTCGGGAACTTTATACATTCTTACAGCAAAATATGGCAGTATTGCCTTCCTCAATTTTTTTGCTATTTTATTTAATTTGTTTATGGTCTATACAACTTGGATAAATAAGTAATTTAATTTGAAAAAATTCTCCCGAAAATTTTAATTCTCCGTATTTGGAACCTGAATTTATCTTGATCAAAATTAGACATTATTATTTTGTCGAGGGTAAACAAAGAATTTTAGTCGAACCCTGACTGTATGGATAATTAACAAAAATCTAGGTTATTGAGATCGATATTTCTCGGTATATCGATATTTTTCCTACATTCAGAGTCAATGAGAGATACCGTAAATTTCTACGTAATTCAAATCCAATTCTAAATGAATTTTAAATTAAAAAGGATGACTTTTAACAATAAAATTTATAAAAATTAATTTACAGGACTTTTCATCGTCGTATTAATATTTATATTGCATTAAGCTCCTTCTTCACAATACCATTTAATCTTGGATTATGCGTCAAATTCTTTATTCTTCTATCTGGAATTAATTTTATTAGTCTTCTATCATGTTATTATATTCAGGCTATACCTTTGTTATGCTCGACTTTTGCTAACCAGCTTAGATTATTTATTGGATTTGATAGACTGCTTAGTATTGCTTTTCCTTTATGGTAAATATTCTTGATAAGTGAATCAGTTTTCGATTCAAGCCTACGTTAAAGGCATCTTTCAAATTCGTTTTTATGAGTCGGACCGTACTAATGAGTCGAACAAAATATCATATTTTGGAACAAGTTATGTCATTTTGGCACTCATGACAATATGTATACAGTTTAATAATAGTACCTTGATTTTGAGTAACTAACAGTTCTTAAAAGGCTTTTAATTTTGTCATAAGAAGGGTGCGGCAAAATATGCACGAAAAATCCTTATCTAAATTATCACAGGTACAAATTCAATGATCGTTATAAATCCGTTATTGTTATTGCTGTTTTAGCTATAATCAGGACTTCTCGCACGTCTTGGCTTATCTTAGACATGGCAATTGAATTTCCTGAAAGGTAAATTAATTTATTATGTCCTTCATCTATAGCCTCACTTATGTCCTTCATTTATAAGCCTTAAAAATTTCTCACTTTTTCATTAAAGAAAAGACATAAGGCATTCGATCTCTAGTAGATCTTTTCTCTATTACTATCAGGATTAATTCCCTCACAATCTCCTTTCTATTTCTTGAATGGATTCGGCTCTTTACTCTGAAGTATAAGTAGAAATCTTTTCACATTTTCATTTCAGACCTTTAATGTGCACATCCAGTGACCTAATCCAACCAGAAATTTATCAAGAAACTTATGTTACTGCGAATGTTTATAATGTGTTAACTATCGTATGTTATGTAGCTATGTGGGTATTGATAATTTTAAGAAAGGAAAACAATCCAAATATTAAACGTTTATGTAATTCTTTGACTGCAATTATTGTTGTTAATTTTGTTGGGACATTAAATGTTAGTTAACTTTTGTAATTAAATTATTAAACGATATAGCACCGATAATTAATTGTAGGGTAATGGCAATTTGCTATAACCTTAGTATCCGCAAGATATAAACAATTGAATAAATGCACTTAGAGTAAACACATGCTTATATTAATAGATCATATCTAAAATCATTAATTCTTGATAGAAGGTGCAGGTTTCTGCATAAACTTACACCAATATTAGGTGCCTTAACGTCCACAAACAGTAAATTGAAACACAATTAAATTGGTTTCTGATAAGTTTTTAATTTGTTTTTGTAAAAAGTAAATGAAAAATATTACCCGAATAATATCGATAAAAACTTACCTTAGAATAAATGGTTTTCATAGATTTACTTTAAAATACATCATCACATCCTGGGCACTTGAAAAGTGTCTTGCCTTCCAAATGCCCATAAATGTGCCTCTCTAATTGTTCGCCAATACGAGGCAAAGATTGCACTTCTTGTGCTTATTTCCTATTTTTCTTAAATACATCTCCTGCCAAATGTTTGATTAGTGAGGATCCTGTAGCTCCAATTATAATTGTGCTTTAATTTATTTACTTATTTAATAATACTTTACTCAAATTAAATTGAATACAATTAATTTTTTAGACACAAATTTGGTATTTAATTATGCCAAAATTGTCATTTTCTGCTGTGGATATTGATACTTTTATCACAGTTCCAACTTTGCTTATGTACGTTGTAGCAGCTGGAAGTAATATGCCTATTTTGTATTTATTTAGGTTCGTAAAATATTTTTATCAGAATAAAAAATTGATGAAAATAAAATTAATCGTACGAAATTTTTTCAATGAAACTCGAAACTAAACATTTTAATTGGTTTTCAAACGTAACTCAAATCAGAAAACAAAAATTTATTCTCATTCAGATCTGAATCTTTTTCAAATCTAAGATTAAAAAAAATAAGTTTTTTTTACTTTATTAAGCAAGGACTACAAAAAGGCTTTCAAAAAAAGCATTAAACATTTATTTTTTGGCAAACCGTTAACTACACATACAATGTCAATTTCAATACCAAATCGTTCACAGAATGCTGGGAATGTACAAAACAGAATAAATATTGCAAGAATGAATATAAATCCAGTTATCACCTGATAACAAGTGGTATGCGCATCTATATATGTATAAAATCACACCCTCCCGCCAGTGAACAAAATCGCTAATGATCAACCTTTATTTTAATTAAAGCTAGTGTATTTAAATCAGATCAAATCAGGGTTTAAACTTGCAAATTTTATACATTTCAGATTAAAAAATTTTATATCCATTATTTTATTTTATATCATTGCTTCACAAACGAGAATTATAATAACTTTTTCAGTTATTCAAGCATAATTTTTAATTATTTAAGCAATTAATTAAATTTTATAAACAAAAGTTTATATAATGTTTAGTACATTTGTTACAGTATTTTGTATTTATTTTAAAACTGAACTTTAAAGGCGTTGTTTAAAAGTTGCGGAAAAATTGGAAAAAAATATTATTTTGTTACTAGTATATTTGAATTTTGCACGCCATCATGCGTTAAATTATTTTTATTCATAGAAAGGATTATACATATTTGTGTATTCGAAAATAATTCATTCCCCTTTATCTATTCAAAAATTTTGCAATAAGCAATGCAATAAGACCCGGTACCTTTTCATAAAGCTCTTTAAACTTTTTGTCAAATTTGGGTTGTTGAAGCAAATTGCGGGACACCCCATCGAGAGACACCCGATGAGACAACCCATGCTTGAACAAAACAAAGAAAAGATAAATGAAAATCAGCGTAATTACTATAATGTTCATGAAAGTAAGTTGAAAAATGTTTCGAAAGTTTACTAACAAAAAATAAGGATGTATTTGCATGTTTTGCCCCTCCTTATTTATAACTAGGGATGGGATTTATATGGATTTCCATATTTTTTTCCTGGCCTAGTTGGGTCGTGAAACGCACGAAAAACGTTGTTTTAGC